TCCTGCACTGCCTCCGGTTTTTCTGCATTCTCGTTCTGATGCGGTTCTCGCGTTTCGCGCATACCTCTCTGCTCTTTCATGCTTCGACACACAACTGAGGACAGAGTCAGACCTCTTTCACTGTGCAGATGGCTTGTTAGTGAGGGTTAGCTGAGTGCTAACCTTGTTGTGAACAGCAACACTTCAATACAAACAAATAGTCATTTTGCCACGCTCTATTTCTTTTCTTTTTCCCCCCTTTAGTCGGGAACTATTAACACTTTTCAACTTTCATACCATTAAACGTATTAAATGCTACACGTTCAGTGTTTTCTTTCACTTACTTTTATTTTATCAACTAGTATCAACACATTGCAACAGTATCTTTAAACCTTCAATAACTGTTTTTTGTTACCACTAGGGGACAGCGGAAACAAGCTGTAAACAAAACATTGACATATTCAAAAGTTCGACAAGGCGAAATTGTTGGAAAACAGTTGTTTATTTACACACTCAACTTTTGTTTTTAAATGAATTCCTGAGGGAAATATCTGGCTGTTTAGCTGCTAACTGCTGCTGCCTGGTGCTAAGCAGGTAGGGTACAGTGGGGTTTTTAAGAGCCAAATCAAGAAACCAAAACAAGCTGAAAGATGCCAAAATAATAAATATCTATAGAGTAGTCATGTGATCCGTTGTTAATGTCAAAATATAGATTATAGCAGCTGTAATAGAGAACCGTTCTGAAATGTGTTGAACACAATCAGTGTCACCATCAGTGTTCTCTTCTTTTTCTGGCAGCATGAACTATTTGTTGAGAATAAACAGAACTCTAGCATAAGAGCTTGCTCTTGCACAATAGCACACAATGGGACAAATGCTGTGGACCATGGACTCAACCAGCCACAGTCCACAGTATCATATCCGTTTCATAGAAACAAGTTGAAAGTAATATATCTTATTAACAGCCCAGTGGCTCTAAAGAGCAGCTTCACAATGGAGCATGACCACTGTTTGATTGACAAAATATACATGAGAATTTCAGAGTGGAGACCAGGTACTCCAAATAAATAATCCGCTAACTTTTTCTGCTCCGTATCATCAGGTCGGTTGTCTCTTTATCTCGAAATGTCTCCTGGTTTACACATTAGCTCCTCTCTGCCTCCTATCTGACTCTCTTTGGGAGCTTTGCCCTGCTGCGGAGCAGTGACCTGCAGGTCAAAGTTCAGGGCCGAAATAAAACTAGCAGAGATATCACTCTATCACTATTTATTTTGGTTTTACAATTGTATATTTATGATATTTTATTGATTGCAGATGTGACATGGAGAGACCGGCACAGGTTCATGCAGAGAAATGCGTTTCTTTTGTCGCTTTAGAAATGGAAAATCTACTTATTAAACGCAACTGTCAGACTGAGCCGAATCTATAATGCGTCTGTGTTGCCCCGGCACCGTGACTTTTTAGTCCAAACGTTGATAGGCCTTAATTGTATTTAGCTGCTGTAATTCCACTAACAGTCTGACCCAGAGGCTAATCCAGGGCAGCCAGGCAGCGAACTGTGCACTCTGCCAGCTGCCATTTGCTGAAGTGGCATTTTGAAAGTCGCAGCTAAAATGTCCCATGGTACCTCTGTTTGCACACTTTCCTCTTCGCCCTCATTTCGTGCCCTACCTACGTACACGGGATGCTGTTTTGTTTTGGGTTTTGGGGATTTGTTGGTCTTTTTTTAGTGCCCTTTTTTTCTGCCCTCAATTTGGTATCAGAATAATTTAGTTTGCCAGGAAGAATGACTCTGTACATCGATCAGATTTCAAGTTCAATCTCAGTCAAATACATCGAGCTAAGCCACAGTGCACCAATTAAAAAGCAGGAAACAGCTTATGGCAGACTCCCAAATCTGACTTTATACTCCCATCCCCCCTCCATTATTCTCTATCTCTCTGACCCTGCTTTCCTTTTTTTTGTCTTATCCTCAGGCATCTGTTGCTCTCTAATGTCATTTCTGTCTCTCTCGCTCTCTCGCTGCCCTCCTCTATGTCAAGATACTACATCTCTCTGTCTCTGCATTGTCTGTCTGCCTGTCTTTCTCTCCATTCTTTTGGACCTTTCCATAATCACCCCTTGCTCCCTTTCCTCTCTCTCTCTCTCTCTCTCTCAGTCCAGCCGGCTGTAGGCGAGAACGAAAAACAGAGAGTGATGTGTTTCAGTCAGAAGTCCTCAAGTGCGCTTCCTCTCAGCCACGAGTGACCCCCACAATGAGGCTTTTGAAAAGTCAAGAGGATCAAGTATATTCACCACCATCCGCAGGATTAACGAATCAATTTGAGAGCAGATTAATAGCTGTGAATTCACATATCAGCGACATGAGAGGCAGCGGGGTACCAACAGGTCGTGGAATTTATGGAACGTCATTGAATTTGGAAGAATTTGATGTATTCCTTGTGAAAGTCAGGACAATGTGTTTCACGGCGGTGAGGAGCCCAGAAGAAGAGGAAACCAGGTTGTTGACGCCCTGTAGAATAGATTTTATTTTATTTTTTTAGATGACGTTAACAAGCCAGGGCAGAGTGACAGTTTTAGGTTATGGATGTGCTCTGACTTAGACATGGACAGTCGGGGAAGAGCTTTTCCGGAGACTGTCCTCTCAGGGAACACGACAGAATCGGTCCTTTCAGCAAGTGCCCTAAAGTGACACATGCTAAAGTTCAAGCCAACGAAGCCCTCCAGCTGCCTTAGATGTGATGACTGTTGTCCCTCGTGAGCAACAGAGGAAGTCGGGTGATGTTATTGTAGAGCGGCGAAGTCCACGCTGTTAGGAGGTCTCAGGGACTCCTCCCAACAAAACGTCAGATTCCGTTTCCTGTTTCCTCCCGACAGTCAACGTTTTTTTTCTTGTAACCATGATCACGATCATCCAAAAGCTTAACCACGTGTTTATTATTGTAACCATGATAACAAAGGTCCCCTAACCTTAACGAAGTACTAAGTAACAAACCACAATGATTAGCCAACCCTAACCAAGGTGTTTCTGTGCCTAAACCTTAGCCATAGATTGTCCAATGATAGACTGATTTATTTTACTATTTTTCTTTGTCATGCATAAAATGATTAAATGTGTTTCTAAAGAGCAGCTACAAACAAGTAGTTTGACGTCTAATTTGGGGGACTTGTTGAGTTCTGTTGCTTCTCTCGCCGACAGCAACAGCTCTGTATGCTTTAGCAGTCTTTCCCTTCAAGCTCAAATTACCTCAGAGGGACTAAAAACACATTTGACCAGGTAATCTTTGTGGAAATTGCACTGAGACTACTTTCCCCCCCTACTGCTCAAGGCGGCGTTTCATTTTCTTCGGCTTGTGAAACCCCGCAAAGACAGACACGTGCGGCTAATCCGACAGCCGTCCCTTGCAAAGGCGAGACGAGAGCTGCTGGAGTGCGAGAGACAAGGAATGTCCCCATTGTGCAACGTCTTTGTGACAGGCAACACCTCTCCACAGCTCGGCCCAGCGAGACTGCGCTGTTTGCGAAAGGAGGCCGCATTCTTTTCCGGGAGCACGCGGGTTGACACAAGTTCACGGAGAAAACTAGTACTTTGAGGTCAACACCTTTTGTGCTGAGGTATTTTTTTTTCTGCTCAAGAGGACAGGCTAGAATTAAAGGCCTTTTTTTTTTTTTTTTCTTTAACGCTCTTGAGTGATTTGACCTCCCGTTTCTCAGACGTGCCACGGTGCGTTCAATTGACACAGCTGCTGTGTGTGAGGTGACAGGTGATGCAGAGTTGAAAAGCATTTTTCCAAACCCCCTCCTCCTCCCTTTTTATTTCACCCCTCTCTCTACCTCCAGCTTCCACCTGTCTCTTTATGTAAACCACCGCTCCATATCTGAAGCCTCATCTCAGGCTATATTCAAATACACTGAACTCTGCACCTTCTCTCTCTTTCCCCTCTCCCTGCCCTTAATCTCCCTTCTCAACTTATCACCTCTTGATCCCTCCCTCTCCAACTTATCTCGCCATTTCACCCTTTTACCTAATTTTTCCCTTCACACGCGGCCTCCCCTCTGCATTCTCATCGCCCCCCCCCC